TAGGTCCATAATTTAGGAAGTCAATACATGCAATGATTTAAACCATTTTTAGTACCTGTGTGATCTTGAATAATTTACTCAAATCCTGGCCCTGACTTTCCTCTTCTATAAAATGGGGGAAATCACAGCTCTTACTTCATGAGGCTGTGGTGGGGACAGAGAGGACACTGGCGCACAAAACCAAGCACATGTCGTAACAGGGTGGACCCACAGGAAAGGGGCAGAAGGGGCCAGACAAGTCTGGAAGGAAAATTGCAAAATCAAAACCAAGATAAAATCTGCCATTGTTAACCTCCCCACGGGTGTCACCCACATCTGTTTCAACTAGTCCAGGACCAAAAAGCAAGTGCAGCTTCTTACATGTCACATGACCCTGAAAACGTCATGTTTTTATGCAATGCAAGAATGATACTCTTAAAACAAGTACATCATTTCTGCTAAAAATCTCCCAGAGAGCCCCACAACACTGAGGGTGAAGTCCACAGCCTTATGCTGAGCTACAAGCCCCCACTGGCTCTCCAACCTTCTCCCCGCTGCTCTCACCCACCCCCACCCCCCAGCTGCAGCCACACTGGCCTCCTGCTCCTCCTGAGGCACAGTGGGCACACTTCTCCATGGGCTCTTGCTAGTCCTCTGCCTGGAAGGCTCCTCCCCCAAATATCCACCTGGTTAGCTCCTTATATCCTTCTCAAATTGCCATAGTCATCTTCTCAAAGAAGCCGACTGCTACCCTGCTCAAAACTGCAACCTGCCCACAAACGCACATGCACGGCAGGTGTTTACCCGCCCACCCAGATCAACTCCTTATTTCCCCCTCGCTCCTACCTCTTCTAACATGCTGTCTACTAATGTCTGTGTCTGCTGTCTGTTCTGCTAGAATAAAAACACACGCGGGATTGTCATGTATCATTTTGCTTACAGCTGGTGTGCAGCCCCTAGCAGAGTGCTGAGCACATAGTAGACACCCAGGAAACACCCAAGAGAGGGCTCAGGAATATACTCAGACATTGAATCAGTGGGCACACACCGAGCATCAGAGTCCACTCGGGCCTCCCCATTTTCAGCTACTTTCCCAGGACTTGTCATCACAGAACCTCCTCTGAAATGGCACGGCTTGGCCTCTCCGTGTCCACTCTTACATGTCAGTGGTCTTTTCCTCGCCCACTCCGCTCCACCTGAGAAATCCCATACATCCTCCTAGGACCAGCCCTCCTTCCCCCGCCCCCCCGACTTCTGCAGTCTCCACACCTTCCTTCCGTCCACTTCCCAGCCGCCCGGGCATGGGCATGGCTGTGTTCTGCCCTAGCTCTGTCCCTGCTAACCCGTGACATCCTCAACCGCGGAACCCCACTTGTTCCTCTCAATCTCGAGTGCAGTGCCAGGCACAAGTCAGCATTCCAGAACGATTCAGGCATTGGTATCAGCCTGCAAATTAAAAAGTCAAAAGTAAACCCGAGTTTTGGAGAGTCAACTAATTCAGCCCCTTGAGACAAGAGTGACACGTAATGATATAATTACTTCCCCCTGCCTGGCTCACAGCCCGTCAACAGCTCAGAGGATCCTGTCCACCCAGCCCCAGCCCCACCATGCCTGCTCCTCCAGTCCATTAAAAAGAACCCCATGTAGGACTCTACAGGAAAAGAAAAATACACATTTGGTATAAAAATAGAGAAATACATGGCACCACACATCAGGGAAGCTAGATTTTACCCTTGGAGCAATGAGTCATGATGTTCACTGTCTTGGCCTAAAGAAGGAAGGGGGGCATCCTTGCAGATGAGGTCAAAACCATGCCCAGCTGCCCTGCCCTGGGCTTTCCTGCTGTAGGAAGGGAGCTGACATCACCTGCGACACCTTAGGGCACTGTGTCCCCAAAGGGTGTTCATCCATGCATGTCCAAGACCCCATCAGAATGAACATAAAAAGAGCATCTATTTCCAACATCCTGTCTTCTGACTCTCGCCCCACTCCCAGTGGGGGACGGCTGGTGCCAAGCTTGGGAGCAGAAGACAAGGCCTCTGCTCAGTCACATTTCCACCGCTTTTGCTGCTCCTCCCGGCGGAGAATGCAGTTGGAAGTCACAGAAAGTCGAAGGAGCAGGATTAAGTTATATTGGACGTCCCTCCCCAAGTCAGCGGTGATCCCAGGCCCAAAGCAGCAATCCAAGTTTTATTTGCTCATAAACATTAATAGAGCCAAACCTCGGGAAAGGAACAGGAAAAGCCAAATGCCAGAGCGTGCTTGGGCAGCAGAGCCAGCAGGGCGGAAATGTCAGGGTGCCCAGATCACTCCCTCCACGCTGGCACCAGCCCTGGCTTCTTGAGGAGGATGGAGCTGGGTCACTTTGGATTCTACAAATGCTTTCCATGAGAAAGAAGAAGAAACTTAAACTATGAGGTATATTCTTAATGTCTCAAGCTTTGCCAAAGCGCTAAGATGAGAAGCCCCCCAGAAACTCTTCATTCTAAACCAGCCTGGCCCCTGAGGAGGACTCCCCTCTCGAAGCAGGGTCAGGACACCCTACTGCAGAATACAGAGACCCCCAGTGCCAGTTCCTGCCCTTTAAGTAGCAACCCAAGTGATTCTAGGCAAGCACATACAACCTCTCTGGCCTCTGCACTGCTGTCCCCACCACGGCACACGCCCTCCGCTGGCCGCCGGCTGCGAGGGCCACGTGAGGAACAAGTGCCTTGAGCCAGCACCTTGCTAAGCTACTCATGCTCACTAACTTGGCATCTTTCAAACACTCTCCAAGAGAGAGACAATGAGCCCCACTTTATAGAGAAGCTGAGGCTCAGAAAACCTAAGGCCTGGTTCGAGGGCTCATAGCCCGAACCGCCAGAGCCAGCACTAAACCCAGATCTACGTTCAGAGCCTGTGCTTTTGAGGCCTTAAGCTGTCAGACTGGATCCCACATGGTGCCGGACCCAGTCTGGTGCACAGCAGCTGTTTCAGCCAAGCCAGATGAAGGGGGCCCACTTCCTCGGGCTCACATCTCCTGCAGCTGCCTTCAAAAGCCCCTTCCTAAGGGGGTCAGCAGGACCCCCAGGTTGGTTTCCCTCCCTCTGGCTGGAAGTGGAAAAGTGGAGAGTGAAGGCTCTTGCTGGCCCTTCTGTTTCTGTATCCAGTTCTCAACTGAGAAGGGGGAAGAAGCATATTTCCTTTCCCAATTTCTTCTCTCATCTGAATATTGGATGTCTACGTGTTGTCAGATTTCTAGAAACCCGGTTCCCCAGAGGAATTCCCCAAGAAGCCATCTGCTTATGTGCTTCTGAGGTGCCTTGGCAAAGGGAAACGTTGCATGCTAATCAATCATCCAAGGGGGAGCTGCTCAAGCTTGCCCTGGGGGGTGGGGTGCATGTGTCCTGAAGCAGGCTATGGCACCCCAGAGGCACAGATTCAGGCCCTGCAGGTGCTCTGGCCATTGGAGAGTCATCTCTGTCTCAGGTGAGATTAGGCCTGTCGAAGCTAGGGGCTAGGGCAGTGAAGAAACAGGACAGAGATCCTCTGGTGCTGACCAGAGCAGACCCCACTGCAGACACAGACAGGGATGTAGACATAACACTGGTAGAGCACCCCACAGAGTCATGGTGGGGGGGGGGTAGGAGGTCGGCAGCTACAATGTCATGCTGTCCCACGGTGTGACTGTCTCAATGCCAGCAGTGCCTCTGATGACAGGAAAGCCTAGGTCTGAACAGGCCCATAGGAGGCCACATTCAAATGGCTCTTCTGGGTCCATCCCTCCCTTCCAGGAAAGACACTAGTTCCAGTTTCTCTCACAAGGAATCAAAGAACCATTGACAGAAAATGCATGAAAAGACAAACCAGCCTCTAAGTAGAACAAACCAGCCTCCAAGTAGAATCCCCTATTACATAAAGCGAGAGAAGGCCCAGACATCTGGTCTACCACCTGGTTTACTCAGTGGTGAAACCTAAACCATGCGAGAGTCATGTACTCTGAGTCTCCCAGTCCAGGGCTCCATCCCAGCACTGGCCAGGTCCGCGCCCTCCCAGGCTCAGGCCTGTGCAGCCAGCGGGGAGAAGACAGCCACCCAGAACCCTCCTGGTCCCTCCAGGGAAGCTCCAACCTCTGCAGCAGCTCCTCCTCGCTCATGTGGTATGTGAAGGGGAATGTAGGGATGCACAGACGATGTTGTCACCTGGGCTCCCCTCTAGAGACCTACAGGGCTCCCAGGCATGAAAAACCCTTACCCTTTCCCTAGTCCCTAAGGACCCTGCCCAACCAGGCCTTTCTCCGCTCTCTGGCTATATCCTACTCTGCATACCCGTCCACCTCCTCCCTCTCCTTCCCCCACCATCTCCAATGCGTCTCTCAGATAAACACACAAGTGTCCTCTGTAACCACAGAGAAATAAATCCCTGTTTCCAGATGAACGAAGTCAAAAAGTTTTGAGAAGGTCCTCTCTGGTGGCACAAGGGGTTAAGCACAGCACTATGAAGCTACCCACAGCCACTGCAGCACGATATTGATCCCCGGCCAGGGAGGTGACCCACATGGCGCAGCAGACCTCTCCTGACTCGCCCACTGCTCTCCTCCGCAGTGTATTTCAGTCAGTCTGCCTGTTCTGCTCCCCGCTCTCTCTCTGGTGAATCCTCTCACCCCCTGCACCTCTGACCTGTACCCCAGTTCATGTATGCATAAATAAAGAAATCTTTAAAAAAAAATTTTGAGAAACTTTTGATATTAACCTGCCCAACCCTGGCACTGAAAACCAGGACTGAGCTCAGGGCCCACTGCCCCCTTCATTACCCTTCCAGCTCTCAGTCAGTCCTTCTAGAAGCAGGTCTCAACCCTGTCTGTCCACAGGGCTGGGCACCTCATCGCCTCAGCCTTCAGAACTTCTCTCTGATCCCGAAGCTCATCTCATCCTTTCTTTGCCCCCCAAATCCACCCTGAGGGCAACCAGTCTGTCCACGGAAGCCCAGCAAACCCCTGAAAAGAGGCTTCTGAACCCAGCACACACCGACTCCAGACTCACCAGACTTGTTCACGCTGCACATCCACCACGAGCTCTCCCTTCTCCCAAACACCTGCCCCTGGACCAAAGCCGGCTCTCTGGGGCTTCACCTGCGGCCATGCACCACAGGCACAGTGGGCGCTGCCCACAGCCAGTGCTGTTTTATCCTGGGGTGACTGGCTCCTTCAGAGGCTTCTCCTGAACCAGCCTGAAAGGGAGTAAAAATAACATTTTAATTCATAAGCTTTAGGATTCCAAAAACTGGGCTCTCTTAGAGGTTCGGAATGTTAGCATCTTTGAAATCCAGGTCATCCAGCCACCTGGTTTCCCTGAGCAGCAAACTCAGGCCAGGCCAGGCGAAGAGAGTTGCAATTCTGACAGGAAGGAACATTTTTTAAACGCAAGATTTTCTTCTTGTGGACACATGAAGCCTTCTCACACGATGCCCTGGTGTGGCTTCACAACACCTCAGTAGTGAGGCGAGCTTCAGAGAGAAAACTTCTGAGACAATCACACAAATTGCATTTAAGCAGGAGAAGCAGAACAGCAACCGCACGCTCTCTGTACAGATAATGGGGCGCCCCTCCTTCCAGCCAAGCTCATTCACTGCTCTCCCATCCAGTCACCCTCACTGAAGCCAACCCACCGGGGAAGGTCCAGGGATGCCGGAGGTCCCAGGAGGTCTCTGGTGTCCCCCGGGTCCATGGTCTCCAAACACAGCACACTTCACATTGACCGTGTAGCTGTTCAGTTCCTGTCTACCTCTCTCTAGTCCCGGAGCACCCACCTTTTATCCCCAAGCCCTCATCCGAGGCCTAGAAAGAAGGGAGGGAGGGAGGGAGGGAAGGAGGGAAGGGGAGGGGAAGAGAAGGGAGGGGAAAGGAGGTAGGGGAGAGGAGGGGAGGAAAGGGAAGGGAAGGAATCAAGCAAGCCAATAAGCAGGAGCATCCAGCCAGCCATGTCCTCACCTGCTCCTCCTCCCCTCGGGTGAGCCAGGACTAAATGTCCACAGGCCTTCTCACAGGCCATCAGCCCACAGCCCCAAAGCTTAGCCACCAACACTGGGTCTGCTTGTTCTTCCCAAAGTCCAGGTCTGAGACATTTCTGAGGATTCCCAGGTCTGGAACTCAGAAATGGTCCACTGTGTCCAAAGCTCACCTGAGCCAGCTTTAGCAGAAAAGGACTCGTGAGGTCAGTAAAGCAGTCCAGGTAGCCACAGGACTGAAACTCGGGGCTGGAGACTGGCAGCCACAGGCCCCACCTCCCCCACCTCTGTAGCCCCTCCCAGGTAAGAGCCCTACCTGGCCAGAAACCCACCTGTCTGCAGCCCCACCCAGGGCACAGGCCTCTGAGGCAGGCTCTGGGATGGACTGGGACACTGATGTACTAGAGCACTTGGTCCCACCACTAGGGAGTCACCAATCTCCCCCTGCCCTGCCCCCAGCAAGAGGTGGCTGAATGCCATATGCAAACTCAGTGATTTCATCTCAGTCCCAGGTGGTTCTGCTGGGCAGTCTTCCCTGGCCAGCTTGTCTAGCTACCCAGTTTGTCCAGGCCACCTGGACAAGCAGAGAAAACCCAAGACGTGCACATACATGCACACACACACCCGCGCACGCACACACACACAGATGTACCTGAACATTCTCTTGCCCAGCCTGCATTTGCACAGCAGCCCTCCCCACCACATGGGACATAGCAAGGCCCGGGACAGAGACAGGACAGGGGCCAAGTGCCAGCTCCCCCCCCGAAGACCTCAGTCACTTAGTAGAGAGGACAGGAGCCTCTGACATCCCAAAGAGCTCATCCCACCGATAGCACCCTGAGTGCCCTCTCTCACAACACATAGCACACCTGCTGGGGGAGCCCAGAGACCTGCCTGAGTCAGCAGGATGGGGGTCCCTAGCCACTGACACACAGGGTCCCGAGATATCATGAAGTATGTGAGGGCAGGGCAGTAAGGTTGACAGGACGTTCTACAAAATGGGTAACTTTAGAGAGTATGGTGCTTAGAAGTCGTCATTCCAAATGGGGGTGCAAGGCAAAGGGGTGCCTGCAGGTGTGGGGGTGAGTTTGTGGTGCAGGAAGCTGGGGGACTCTTCCCTTGCTGTGCACCCCAAGGTGTACGTGAACAGACGCCACCCACTCCCTCCTCCCTGAGCCATGTCAAGGCCCAGAGCAGGTATTTTCCCCAACTCCCCCAAGAAAAGTATTTCTCTTTCTCAAAAGGACTACTTTCTTGAGGGGCTTTTAATGGTTTTGAAATATAAGCCTAGAGCTGCAAATGCCGCCTGGCCAATTTCCTGGAACGCTTCACCTCCCCAGAAATTTCTTCTAAAATGACTTTCCTTCTTCCACCACAAACAGAGCACTTGGAGCAATGGGCCTTTTAATCAACAATTACAAGAAGTTTTAAAAAGTCACTCTTAAAGGGCTGTCATGGCGAGCCTGCTCAGCTCTTTTCCCTATTCCTGAGGGACTGCCTGGAAGTGGCAGGAAGTGGGCCATGGTGAGAGCTGGGTAGGTGGGAGCAGCCTTCATCCATCACCCCGCGACAGGCTCCAGGGCCTGGGGGTTCCTCGGGGCACACATCTGCAGCCAGGCAGCGCTGGCATGATTTATCACAGGCAGCCTGCCGCCCGCACCCATGCGGGTTATCTGTTTGCTAACTGCTTCCCTCCCACTGACCTCCAAATGCTTCAGTTCCTCCAGGATCCAGGCCTGGTCTCCCCTACCCCACAAAGGGGCCTACACTGTGACCCCACACACCATCTCTGAGCCAGAGGACCCACCACAGGTGCGTCCAGCCCAGACCCCTTGTCCACTGCTTGCCTAGCATCTCCTCAAGCACACAGTCACATGTGGACCTGTTTCTTTTCTCCAAATTGGCGTCCTCCCAGTCTTCTGTGTGTCACGAAGGTCATGCCCATCCTGCCATGGTGCAGCCTTGTAACCCCTTTTTCTCCTTACTACAGCACCCCAACCCAGCCTTTCCAAGTGCCCCATCTCTCTCCGCCCAGCAGGCCAGCCTTCCCCAACTCTGCTTCACCAGCAGCCAGGGAAGCTGCCCTGCAGTTGGGATAATTATAGCAGTACCCACATCTCATTTTTAGCCTGGCCCTTAACTTGAGAGATTCAAATGCAAGTAGGGGAACCCAGTCCTCCCTGCCAAGGGATCTAGGAGTGGGAATGCTAAGAGAAGTCATGGAGAAGCTAGAACCTGACCTCAGAGTTGAAGATTCTGGGGGAAAAAGAACCAAGTTCCCACTCCCAAGTGAGGTGGGAGTACCAAGTGGAGACCCTACCCCTCATCATAGCCTCCAGGCCCTCAAGCACTGCCAAGCTAAACTATAGCACCACAACTCCACAAACTCAGCAACTGGTCCAAGTGGATGCTTGACCCAAGCAAGGCCAGTCATCTCCAGGGTTATAACCTCATACATGGAAAGGGAGCTTGCTTTACACTGGTTTGCCAAGCTGCAGCCATGTGAGCCTGGAGTGGCCAGTAGCCATCTCCCCTGATGACATGAAGGAATCCTGCCTGCACTAGAAGAGAATGCTTTCTCTGCAAAGAAAGCAGAGCCAAGAGAGGGAGACACTGGAGAAAGAGCATCACTTGTGTTGCTGGATCCAGCCTTGCCTGAAGCTTCCAAAGAAGAGAGGGAGACACTGGAGAAAGAGCATCACTTGTGTTGCTGGATCCAGCCTTGCCTGAAGCTTCCAAAGTTTTTCATTTGTAACCCCATTGCCTCCCTGGTTTCCTTTTTTTTTTTTTTTTAAGATTTATTTATTTATGCATATAAGAGCTTGGGGTACAGGCCAGAGGTATGGGGAGTGAGAGGACCCACCAGAGACAGAGTGGGGAACAGAACAGGCAGATTGACCAAAGTACAGTGTTGAGGGGAGCAGCGGGTGAGTCAGGAGAGGTTTTCTGCACCATGTGATTGCTCCCTGGCCAGCTTGGGCTCGAACTCGTGCTGCAGTGGTTGGTGAGACTTAACCCCTTGCACCACCAGGGAGGCCCAATCTCCTTGGTTTCTTATGGTCTTCTGCCTACTCTTCCTAAAATCCTACCTTTGGCCGCCTTGGTCTTCAGACACATTAGCTCACATGCCCCATAAAGGAGGTGTGCGCCATGCTCCAGCCAAGGGGAAAACGAAGAGGGAGCCGAGAAACCAACCTACCACGCATGATACGGAAAACACATACAACCGTTTCACTGATGCTGCATCAGAGCAGTGAGATTGTGGAGATTTTTTTTTTAATTCCCTATTATTAAAAGTTTTTTTTAATAAAAAGAAATAAATATAGATCATTAGGCCTCTCACAAATAGGGGCTGAAATTGGCCCCCACAGCACCACAGAAGTGCTTTCTGGTTCTCTCCTCATTGGCACACTTGTCCCAGCTCCAGGATGCCGGAGTCCTACCTTTTGCTCAGTTCTCCCCACACACCTGAGCCCCGCATCGCACTGATACCTGAGCCCTGTTTTAGGTTCTATAAGAAACACTGATCCATGTGGAGACCGCACAGAGCTGGTTCCCTAAAAAACTTCTTAGCACAAGGTCTCTGAATCTTAACATTATCGTTTCTGAGGGGAGGACTCTAAGCCGGGACTGGAGCCAAGTGCCCCCGATTCCAGCTGAAAGTCCACTCTGGTTCACCAAGTCACCAGCATCTCCCGCGTTGAGTACAGAGCCTAATGGAATTTGCTGGAATCCCCTAGCCAATACTGTTAACTTTTCTTTTATCTTCTGTTCTAAAAACCTGTCAAAACCATCATCTCTGCCCCACAAAACAAATTATTTTTTGAGTCATGTAGGAAAAAATTGAAGTTGAAATGCTGTGAGGGTAGAGGCTTTTGTATTGGTGTCAGGCGTCTGTGAAATCTAATGGAGCCACCCTTTGACAACATTATCTGTGTTTGGCTAATTTGGTGGAGCAGACAACGTTCACTATTGAGCAGGAAGAATAGGCTGGACGGTGCTAGGAAAGCAGAGAGCTGGCCCACCCTGGATAATTTGCTTCCGCTATTCATCCTGCAGATAGGCTCTCAATTACAGAGACGTTCATAGGTAAATTTCCATTCGTTCTTTTATCACCTCACAAATGAAATAGTCATTTTTAAAATAGCTGGAAGCAGAGATGCATGTCAGTAAACAAAAGGGCAGGCTTCCTTATCACAGTTTATTTTGTCCTGATTATTTGT